CTGCTTACTCTCTTGTAATCCCTTCCTCTCCATTCTCTCCATTCTGCAAGGCGGGGGGGGGGGCAGAAAAAAACAGGTCAGGCACTGTAGAGATTGCCTGCAGGGATTGCTTTTTCTTTTTTTTCTTTTTCCCCCCTTGCTTGTTTAAGCAATCTCTCTGCTCTTTGAGGGAGGGATGGAGAGAAAGAAGAAAAAGCTATTTCTTTAGGCAAGGCTCTGCAAGGGGGAGGGGGAGGAAAAACAGGTCAGTCATAGGACAATGCATACTGACTGTAATGTCAATCACATGACTGAGGGATGCTGTGAAGGTCATAAATATGGGCATTGATCGTAAAACTATTTTTTCACACCACTGTAATTTCAAACAGTCACTGAATGAGGCAGTCAGTAAACAAGGTCTACCTGTATAAGTCAATGGTACTGTTAAATATATAAATATAAAAACAAATATATGTCACCTGAAATAAGTCTTTTAATGCTTTCAAGTTGTGCTGTCAGCAACAGTTCTTCACACTTCAGAATTTCAAACTGCACTTCATACAACTGAAGTTGCAGGTCATAATAATCAGCTTCAAGTTGGTCCAAATGAGCTATGGCTTCTGTGCCCCCTTGTAAGCTCTGCATCTGAATTTTTTAAAAAGATCAATAACTACATCAAAAAGTTAGTAAATCTTAATCTTACCACAAAGTATCTGCAAAATATGTTATCACTGAGCAGGACTCATTTTGAAGGCATTAGAAATCAAGGGAAAGTAAATGTTACTACAGTATTCACAACCTACTCGGCTCAGTTTTACAGTTGGGCAAAAAAGTATTTAGTCAGCCACCAATTGTGCAAGTTCTCCCACTTATAAAGATGAGACTGAAAGACCCAGCCACGTTCACTTAAAAAGATGAGAGAGGCCTGTAATTTTCATCACTGAAAGACCCAGCCACGTTCACTTAAAAAGATGAGAGAGGCCTGTAATTTTCATCACTGAAAGACCCAGCCACGTTCACTTAAAAAGATGAGAGAGGCCTGTAATTTTCATCACTGAAAGACCCAGCCACGTTCACTTAAAAAGATGAGAGAGGCCTGTAATTTTCATCACTGAAAGACCCAGCCACGTTCACTTAAAAAGATGAGAGAGGCCTGTAATTTTCATCACTGAAAGACCCAGCCACGTTCACTTAAAAAGATGAGAGAGGCCTGTAATTTTCATCACTGAAAGACCCAGCCACGTTCACTTAAAAAGATGAGAGAGGCCTGTAATTTTCATCACTGAAAGACCCAGCCACGTTCACTTAAAAAGATGAGAGAGGCCTGTAATTTTCATCACTGAAAGACCCAGCCACGTTCACTTAAAAAGATGAGAGAGGCCTGTAATTTTCATCACTGAAAGACCCAGCCACGTTCACTTAAAAAGATGAGAGAGGCCTGTAATTTTCATCACTGAAAGACCCAGCCACGTTCACTTAAAAAGATGAGAGAGGCCTGTAATTTTCATCATCATCTTTATAAGTGGGAGAACTTGCACAATTGGTGGCTGACTAAATACTTTTTTGCCCCACTGTATATGCATTATGAAGGGTCAATTTTTATTTTTGTAGGAACGAAAATCTTTAGATAAAATCTTACACCAAATCTTCAAAATTTAACATAATAAAATATCTTACCATGCTTGCAAATTGTTGAACAGCCCAATAAAAGTGTATAGCAAGAAAGAGACCCACTCCTCTGCACATATTCATTTGCCCAATACATGGATGGGATGAATACAGCAGCGTGAATTTTAATAGACTGAAGTAAAGTACTGCTTTGATACAATTTGTTTTCTAAAATAGTCAGAGTAATTACATTTGCTCTTACATATGTTATCAAGCTGCTAATTCAGCAAACATGACACCATAAAAAAAGCTGATTTTAAAACTAAAAGAATAATAAATTGAACCAACACTGCAGTTAGTTAGAAAAAACAACAGTGAGCCAGTTTCCAAAGATAACCTTTTCAGAATCTACTGGGAAACTGTTTTGGGCCCCTCAACACACACCCCGGTCCAAACATTAAATTGAAACCTTAAACTTAAGTCCAAACATACCATTAAAGGTATCCAAGCTATCTGACATATTTGTAATTCCCTAAAGAGTGCTCAGTGATGTAGGGTTTCTGGTTGTCATCACAATGACAATGTCTGGCAGCTGAACTGCAAAGTAGGATCTGGTCTGCCTCCCAGAAAGTTTTCCTTTTAACACCACAGTATAAATACCTACATTTCACATATTTGTGCGTAAGTACTTAAAAGAATAAACAAGCCTTGTTTAAAGAAAGCAATCACATTGGTCTGTTGCAAATATTGCCAGCGAAAAATAACTGAAAGACACTGCTGTCAATTAAATCAGAAATTCGGTCTAGTAACCTTCTCTTGCATCAGCTAGTTCTCTCCGCATTAAAAATTCAGAAAGCCTGAAAATCCATCACTCACTGATGAGAAACTGCAATCTTTTTATTTTACTCGGCTAAAATTACACTTAACATGATGGCTACTTCTCATGAAATATTAGCAATTAGTAGAAGCTCATTGATTGGTACAGGAGAAGGCCTTTTCCTGTGTAGCACCCAAGCTATGTAATGTCTCCCTAGGGATAGACATATAGGGTGTCCCTCACTCTCCTAGTGTTTGAAAAAGGACAAAAACACATTATCAGTGTTAAAATTATATTCTAAAACTTGTATTTTTATTTTAAATATTGTAAGCTGCCTTGAGTGCTTATGTAAGTAGAAAGTCTAATCATCATTATCACCACCACCACCACCACCTGTCCCTATGCCCAATCTGAACATCCATGGCCGATAGGCATGTTCCCATATGGCAGTGGTTGTATCTGTTCAAACTACGCCATCGTTATCACCAAGTGTAGCTGATCACTTGGAAGAAAAAAAGAATTACTAATGTAAATCTCCAGTTTCATATTCATTCAATCACATGATTCAGTCAATGTTTTAAAGAGTATTTTTTCTTAAAATAATCTCCAAGAAAGAAAAATATGTACCAGACAAAACAGAAAAAAGAGTGAACTACTGTAGAAATTATGTCAGAATTATCTTCCGTGATTCTGAATTTATTAAAATTATTTTATCCAGCCTCTCCAATACTATAGCTATATAATAGCCCTTAATTATTTTCTATTCTTTTCAGAGCAAATTGTGATCACTAGCCAATGATTTTGCCTTGAAGTCTCTAAGTCAATGATCTTCTAATTTAGCACTACAAAATAATTTTCAAGTTTGCTTTGAAGTTGAATACTCATCAGTTATTACCTCTTCTTTTAATGCATGTTTCTTCTGTTCTAAACAGATTTCTTTTGCTCTCATCAATTGCAAAGTATCTTTAGACACCGCATACTGAAGTTTTTCCATTCGTTCCACTGCTGCTGCCCAAGCTGCCTTACCAAACTTTTTCTGGTCTGCTCGCATACGATCATACACAGCTGTAAATAAAATGTAACAGCAGGCTTACCATATTTGGAAATAGTTTCATTATAAATCCTGTTGTGAGTAAGTAAATCAGCCTCCCTCTTTATACAAATAAAGTGTCACAAGGATTTTTAATCTTCAAAGCAGTAGTTATTTTAATAAACATTTTGTTTCTTTTGTAAAGTAGCATTTTTATTCTTATTTAACATACTATATAGACTGAAGTCATTATTTCATGACCAAATTATTTGTGTGATTTAAAAAAAAAAGCAACAGGAGGACACACATCAAACTAACTGGTCTAAAATTAGGGGGAAAATTGTAGAAAGAAAAATTGTTCCTTTAACTATATTTTTGGTATGATAAAAAGTTATAAACAGAAAAGAAAGTATCCATTGTTTTTAGTCAAGAACCAATAGCTTCTTAACTCATATCACTATTGAATTTGTAATGGAAGAAATCTGAAGGGGATGAGAAAACTGTAAAAGACACTGATTTCAAGAGTTAAACATTTATGAACTCAATATAAACTTATTTCCCAAACTTCAATTCCTTGTGTTCAAAATGGAATGTATCCCTTTAGCAGCAAATGTAAAATAATTTGTCCATTACCTTTTTGTGCTTTTGCTGTTATTTCGAAGTACTTTACTGTAAGGTCTTGTATAGATAATACAGCCATATGAGCCTTCCGTTGCCAGTCAGCATCTTCTTTTTGAAGACTTTCAATTCTTCTAGGACCTAGGTAATCATTCTCTATGGAAATCTGAAAATAGATCAATTCACTATACCCATCATGAAATAAACAGCAAGAAACAAATAGTAGTCATATAGCCTTGCAAAGTTTATACAAGGAATTTTCCTAAAAAAGAGAGATTAATCATGGACTTTCCTGAACAGTAAACAACTAACATTGGGGGGGGAAACGCACAATGAAAAAATTGGACAAACTCTAGTTTAAAATTCATTTTCTGGAATTTCTGTTTCTGTGGAATATGAGTGAAACCAATAATAAATTGTCTAATAAACTGTGTCTAGCTGTTAATCTGAATAAGAATGTGATCAATAAATCTTCAAAAATTTGCACCTGGTTCAAGTACAGAAAACACACCTCTCAAGCCCAAATGAGAGGTCAATGGATGAGATGAATGTACTATTTCACTAGTAGCATGGAGCCACACCAGCAAAAAAGCACATCTGCCCTGTTAGTCATAGAACTGTTAATATTGCAAGTAGAATTGCTTCCAATAAGCCTGACTCCCAATCATTATCTCTTTCTGAAAATGAAGTAGCTCTCCCACATGACCCACAAATATTTCCTTATCAGCCCCAGCATAACAAGCATCTATTTAGAAAACCATGTTTAAAAAAGCAGTGCTTGAATGAGATGCTCTTCCACTATTACCTAAATTTATTTATTTAAAAGACTAACATGGGTGGCCATCTTAGAAAACACAACTCTGGGCAGCTCACAACAGCAACACCCCCAGACTCCAATGTCACTCAATCCCAGCACATGGAGAAAGAGCCAACTCTTTACAGCCTTCCAGAAGGCTAATAGGGTGTGGGTCGTCTGGATTCTGGGGGAAGGGTGTCCCACAGGGCAGGGGCTGCTACAGAAAGAGCATGCTTTCTAGGTCCCAATAGATGGCAACATTTAAGGGAAGGGACCTGGACCATGCCCAGTCTATCTGAACTGGTGGAACAGGCAGATACCTTTAGTGAGAGGCTGTCCTGCAAAATGTTATTTTGGGGTTCACTGTGATGTGTGAACACATCTGCATTTTATCACTTCAAAAGAAATTTATTCCAGATTTTTCCTCTTATCCTACAGTAATTCTCCTTCATAATTTAGCCTTTCCTATTTGTTTATCAAAACTTAAATGGGAATTTTTTCATACTCTTTCTCCTGTTATGGAAAAGGAGAGCGATAGAAACAAGACATTGCACCCAGATCTAGGGGATAAAAAACTACAGGTGCAAAGGCAAAGGAAAGGAAGTAAGCATGTAAAGAGAGATCTGAAAAAAACCCTCTCTACCTTCTTCTCTCTAGTCCAGGGGTTCTCAAAGTACGGCCCACGGGCTGCATACGGCCCACCAGGGTCATTTATCCAGCCGCCCGCCTGATTGGCCGCCACTGCTGTCTGTCAGAAGCGGAAGTGTCAGGGCTGTGTCAGGAGCTGCAGGTGATGCACGAGGAGGGAGATTGCAGAGCCGGACTATTCTACATGAGAGGTATGCTGGGTGGCTCTCCTCCTCTCCTCAAACTACAGTCCGGCCCCCCAACATTCTGAGGGACTGTGAACTGGCCCCCTGTTTAAAAAGTTTGAGGACCCCTGCTCTAGTCACTAAATTTCCAAAGCACATCTTCCTATTCTTTAAAAGTCTTGCAAATGGAGCAAGCTGCCAGGAACTTGTTGACTGTTAGGCATTTAGAAAGAATATGCACTCTGGATAGGGGGCAGAAGCAGGGTTGCAAAGTTCCAGCCAGAGGACAACGCTGGAGCAAATAGGGGAAGCAATTCTCTTAGTGGAAACAAATGAAAACACTGTATTGAACAGCATTTAAAAAAAAACCCTGAAAAGGGTGTGGTGACATCCTTTCCTCTCCCCACACCCCAATCTACACTGGAAAGGAAAGGAAATTGAAGAAAACTTTACAGATGCCACTGAATTAGAAAACAGTCTTTGTCCAATTATCTAGTTCAAGTTTTCCAGGCAGCCTAATGTTGCTTCTGTAATGCAACCTCCATGCCTGAGCACTCTTATTTGCCAAGAACAAATAGTTCCTGCCCCTTACCTTTTGGCAAGTGAGTTTATTGAAGATTATCCTCCATAGCTAAACATTGCTTTTATTTACCTGGGATTTATATTTAGTCATATGTTCATTCATTTTTTTACCTTAGTACCTCTTTTCTGTCAGTGGAAAAGATCTTGTAACAGATTAACAGAATAAGACACCCCAGTAGCTGTACTTCAAATTAAAGTTTAGAAGAGTGAATTATTCATTTTCAAGCTTGCTGGTCTTAAGCAATCAAAATTCCCATAATATACTACCATTTATTGGAAGGATATATTTGGAAGAAAAAGTGACAATGATGGCAAAATGATAAATAGTTAAGTGAAGAGAGTTTACTTAACTATTTATCATTATGCCATCAGTGCAACTTTCCTTCAAAAACTACAGAGCAGGTGCTTAATCTTTTTCCGTAAACAGATTTCAGCACAAAATCAAACATATAAATGCATATATAAATATGAAAAGCATATTCCTGTAGATAACATGTTATTCATATTTAAATCAGAAGTATATTTCAA